CGAATTCAAAAGCACAGCCGTTGGAGAATATGATCCAGAGATTTATGAAGTTTATTATTGTAGCATGTTCCTAGATATTTTAGAATATGGGAGGTCAAAATGTGAAAAGTCTTAAGATTAGGCCCCCAGTCAACGCGGAGTTGGAGTTGAGATGGAGATAGTCAGTGGTCAACGTCCCGCCGAGTTTTCTGCCGCCAACCCATTAAGCTATGTGGGGGGTGAGTAGAGCCCTCATGGTAGGGATGTCAATTGGGACTCCGTGGGATGCGGAAGTCTCTCCTTGTCCCCATTCTCGTGAATGGTGGAGATAGAGATCTTCGCGATAATTTTTGAGAAGGGGTAGATTTTGCTTTTTATTCTCATTTTTTATTAATTAATATTAAATTATAATTTTTTTTGTATTTTATATATAATTAATTAATATTTAATTATAATAAATAAAATTTTGAAAATTCAAATACAATTAATTAAAATTTTTAAATATAAAATCAAATATAAATTGTTTAAATATAAATAAAAATGAATTTAACATAAATAACTAAATCAACCATTAACAAATTTGTTTCAAACATAAATAAATATTAATCCAAGCTAAACTAAAACATAAGTAAAAATTAAACCAACAATGGAGGGAAAGGTGAAAATAAAAATTGAGAAATGAATTAGGGTTAAGGTTAAATGTAAGTAGGGAATGAATTGGGTTAATTTTTATGTATTGGGTTGGTTTAAGTTAAGTATAATTGGATTAAGTTTAATTTCGATTGAATTGAGTTTGAACTTGAATTTGAGTTTGTGTTTGGTTTGGATTTGTGATTGAGTTTGAAAAATGAATTAAATTTAAAATAAAATTAATTTATATTTATTTTAATTTTTACGGGGATTGGGATCCCCATGGGGTCCACGAGGCAAAAAAATTTTCTTGCAAAATTTTATAGGGGAAAAATGCTCTCCATCCTTGTCCCGTGTAAAGAAATATTTCTTCGTGCCTCATCCCGTGACGGAACCTGCGGAAATCGAGAGAAATTGCCGTCCCTACCTCATGGTTTGTGTCATCCGGACACCGTAGAAAGGACAAACAGCATTTGGGTTTGACTTGACCCCAGCACCAGTTATCCAAATTCATCTATGGGGCCGCCGCAGACGGCTTTCTGCGCCGCTCCGTCACCGCTCTCAAACCCTCCTCGTCCTGCCCTTCTTCCAATCGGCGCCAGAATATCAACCCCATAGCAATCTATAACGTATACAAATCGTAAACC